GTAGGTAGGTAGGTAGGTAGGTAGGTACGGTAGGTAGGGTAGGGTAGGGTAGGGTAGGGAGGGTAGGGAGGGAGGAGGAGGAGGAGAGAGAGAGAGAGAGGAGAGAGAGAGAGAGAGAGGAACTCACTGCAACTGAGGGTTTGACACTTGGCCAGCCATGTATCCAATGCTTCCTGAGAAAATATCAAGAATGATGATGTTGGTTGTTTCAGTGAAAAGCAAAGTGAATAACACTGATAAAGACAAACAAAACCAGGAAAACAGTAGCATTCAACCTTGAGGTACACCACCCACATACGGCGGAACCGAACTCTGAGGAAACCAAGTTGGATTCATGCCGCCAAGAAAGGCAGGGGGCAATGGTGGATTGGGCAGTGATGCTTGCAAGGAGCCCATGTCTAAGAACTGCAATGACGAAATGAAATTTTATGAATTCTTTGTAGCACAAATCTTAAGCCAAAATGAAACTTACATATTGATTTGTAACTTGCATAAACTAAAGATGTATGTTAAGGAAAATGTAGTGCTCAATATAAGACATGGATGCACAACATTGAGCTTTTGCTTTCATAAGATTCAGCTTGGACTAAACAATTACATGAGGGTAAAACTATATGGATACTTCTAAAAAAAAAAGGTTAGCAATGTGATAATCACAATGATAAGCAGCCTTTTCAACATTCTCAACTAGGTTAATAGCTTGATACTACATCTTGGTGTAGAGAGAATGCCCAGGGCCAGAAACCCTTGATACTACATCTTGGCGGTCAGCTTTAAATATTAAATGCAACAATATGGAGAACTAAAGTGTTAATGGAGATAAGCCCATTTATTACTCAGCTAAAAAGAGATATAGGAGATACAGCCACGCATTGCCAGAGTTCCATTGAACTAGAACAAGTGATGAACATAAAAAGAAGAATAGCTATCCAATCAGAGTTATTGCTCCCTGCTAGGACAAACAGAGTAACTGAAATTGTCAACCAGTGCACAAAAACTTGGCTTGGGCTAGGGATTCAGCCCCTGCCCGATCCTAGTATCTCCGGTAAGTCTGAATGAACTTTGCCCGAGGCATGCACAAAGCCAAAAAAGCAAACTAAACTATAAACAGCATCAAGTCTAAAAATGGAATACACACACACAGGCATGCACACACACACACACACACATAAGAACTTGGAAAAAAAATTGATTTATAGCCAAAAACAATTAAGAGAAATCCAAAAATATGATAAAACAGAAAAATAGACCATATAATAAGAACAACTTTCAAATCATTATAAAAAACATCAAAATTGTATATAATTATTTGGCAAAGATTTTAATTTTAATTTTTAGTTTTATATGCCTGAGTTTGTATCCAGAACTCGGGCTCAGCAAGGTGCCGAGTTCGAGCGACTCAGCTGAGTCCAAGTCATCACGGTCGAGTTGAAAGATGTCAACAGATACATATATTATTATCATCACCAGCATCACATATATATTTATGTGAGCATGAATCTGGAGTTCTGGACAGCATGCCAAGCACAGAGATAAACACATATTCTCCGCAATTATGCATATATAGTTTTCCATTTTCTATTGCATGCATATCTAGCTTTCAAACTACAATACTGGCTAATATTTACTTTCCATTATCCTCTGCTTAAAAGAAAGTTCAATGGTTACCGTATTGTCAGCTTCTTCTTCAGAATCAAAGGGAAGGTCAAAGGGGTTTGTAGTTTTCTTGCTTTGTAACTGCAACGGCATTTGTCCCTGTGAGTGAACAAATTTTAAGCATCAGAAGATTAAAATATTTGGATAATACAGGTGCCTGCTGTCACTTGTTATCAAGGAAAAGTATACCACAGTCCATTGGTGTCAACATCAACACCATCCAGGCTGTCCATTGGTGAAAAGGATGGATGGTGATGCAAAGTGTGGGAGCCATAAGACAGGACATGATCCCAATACTGCACCCACTCTCTCCTCACCACCCTCCGTCACTTCATCACAGAGTCCTGGCCAAGGCCACAACGGACTATTGTTTTCCTTCCATAGTCTACTTGACAATGCTATATTTCACGCCTCTTACTAAGGGATTGTATACTATGATACCATTTATCCTTAGTACAAGTAGGTCACAACTAACCTTAGCCATTAGATGTCCGATTGGATTGCTTGGGGTGTATCACGAAGTTCACGAAATTTTTTGTGGGGCTTTGAGATTAATCACAAGTACAGTTACAACCATCTGATTTGAAATTTGATGGACAAAAATAATTGTGACCTCCTTGTACTAAAAGTAAATGGTCTCTTTATATACTTTTCCTACTATTAAATAGATCCACCCTGCTACCAAAGAACAACATTTTTGACACTACAACTGACCATCATAGCCATTGCTGATGGAAGGAATCCAGATCCATTGGCAGCACCATTATATGGTACACCTGGTTCAGGGATTCTGCTATTGATGGAGGGTTGTAGGGTAACAACTTTACTAATGTCCTGTCACGAGATAAAAGGATGAGGCTCCAAAAATAGTGAGGATCAAATTCAATCAAGTAGTTAAAGAAGATGATACCTCAGATACTCTAGCACTGTCCTGATGGCCAGGTGTTGGAGTTTTTACCTGAATTTGAACCTCACTCTTTTGTTGAATATTCTCAAACAAAGCTAAAGAAAAGTTATCTTTCGAAGTATCAAAAGCACTCCATGACTGCACAAAAGCATATCCAAAATGTCCACGAAATCAGATTGCACACTTCAGAACAAATATTATCTCAGCCCAAGATTGAAAAGCCAAAAAAATTTTCAATCATGCAGAACAAACTACATATGTATATGTATATATGAACATATATATATGTACATATGTACATACATATAAACAGCCTCTTTCTTTCACCCCAACCCTTCAATAAGTAACATAGCTATAAAGTTTGCAAGTGCTTAATAAACATTTAACAATATTAATAAACATCTAGCAATCTTACTTGAGAGCTTGTTGGAGCACTCGGTACTTGAGCATTGTATCCCACACTGGGCCACTGATCCACCACAGATGGGAAAGATCCCTGAGTAGTTGAATTTTGAACTGAAGGCCGCTGCAGGTTGGCGTTCACAGATGAAACCACTTCATGGTCTACTTTAGAGGGTTCCTTCCCAGACAGCAAAACTAACGGAGCATTTTCTTTTGCAGCGGGTGTTACGAACTGTTGAGGAAAATCAAAGGTAGCCCATCCTTCGTTTTCTACAACAGGCACTGAAGGCGGGACAACAGAAAGTGGTAAAAGATTTGGCTCCACAGGAGCCATAGATGTTTGAGGATGAGAGACATCAGCAAATAAATCTATAGATGGAACCTTGGTGTTCATTGGTGGTTGGACAAATGTCGCTTTGAAAGGCTCATGAACAATGGGAACATTTGGAGTTGAAGCTTGTGCTCCAAAAGGAGGAGGAGATTGACCAATTTGTGGAGGTAGAGCAGACTGTTCTGCATCTGAACCAATATCGATTAAATTAGGTGAATTAACGGTAGTTGCAGATAAGGAGTTGCTGTCAAAGGATCCAAAGCTGCCCAAAGATGTTGTTCTCTGAAGAAAAGAGAAGAGTTACCAATGAGAGTGTTAATGTATCCAACAGGGGAAAAAAAAGTAAAGAATATAATTGGGGCGATTTGGGCTTGGTCTGATTGGTTAAGGTAATGACAACTGCAAGACTTATTTGCAAGTTCGAATCCTACTGCTGAACTACCCAACAGCAAAACATATTGTTATGAGGTAATACAACAACGGTAAAACCTAATGGACTATGGAAAAAGTCATCAACACACGACGAAATGATGGAAGGTGATGAAGAGAGAATGGGAACCACCATAACAGGACATTACCCGAATAGTGAATCAAGTCTCAATCCGTGCAACATTTTCATAGTATGAAAATGATCCTAATGGACTGCCGATTTCCATAGTCCATGGGATTGAAGCATACTTCTCCACACAATTAGGTTTCAATAAAGCGAGCATAAGCAATACTTATTATTTTTACGCCACTTTCATCAAAGACTATACCTGTGAGTGAGTAGACCTGTCCATATTTTGGACAACATTCTCTGATGACTTGGTTATCTTCCTTATTTGTCCATCAATGTCCCTTACAGAGTGAATAGGAGAGCTGCCAAATTCACCAACTCTCATACCAGGGAGCTCATTGGCAAACCTGTCTTCGTGCCTAGGCCAGTCTCCTTCTGATCGACCGGGACTGCAAAGGATGCTAGAAAGTTTCCCTTCATAACCACCTCTGTCTGAGCCAGGCTTTCTAGTAAGAGAGCCAGATTGCTTTCCATAAAGTCGATCTTCATATTGATAATCATATGGAGGACTTTGAGAAAAGGAATGATAAGAACTGGCCCGCCTGGTATCGTCCTCATAATTTTTATAGCTCTGCAAAGCATTAATACTAGCTATATCATGTAAGGACCTTTGCCTTCTTTCCGAAAGAAAACCCAGTAAAAATCTGGACTGTGATTTATAATGGGCCAAGTGCCCGATGGTGACATAGCCCATTGGATTGTATATGCAGGCCACCACCTTCCAATGAAATGATGGATGGTAATGATGATAGAGTGGGACCCACCATAATGTTCTACACTGTTCTGATGTGTCTCACTCTGTCCATCACCATCCAGCAACTCAATGGACAGTTATGACCCCAATGAACTATGGTTTCCAATTTCCGTATTCCATGCTTAAAAAAAAAACCCATTACCTGCACATCTCTTGGCGGCTTCTCACTTGGCCTCAACCCAGCATAACGCCTATCCACATAGACATGCTTTATAAAATCCCGAATTTTATTAACATTACTGCAGAAACACCATACTATAAAGAAATTAGTACAGTAATAAATACTTAGTATGGTTGGTATGGTAATACACCGAACAGACAGGCGAGGTTACCTGCTGTCAGGAACAGTATTTCGTTGTGGGTCCCAATCCTTTAGAAAGGTTTCCCTTGAGCGCTGTCATGGAAGAAACAGTTAAGCATGCTAAGCAGAAGAATAAGCACCCACTATCAGTGGGGGATAAGAAGGTATATAAAAATGGCTCTGTTTACCTGATTACCACCTCTCTGAAGAGCTTCAACTTCCTGAGAAGTAAACTTGGACATGGAGACAGACTTCACACGATGAGTAAACTCACGACTGTATGACCATCAAAGTTGACCCATTAAAATCATAAACTTTGGTAAAATATACAAGAGAAGTAATGTGGAATAGGAAATAATTTGGCAACTTCACATGATGAGCAAATTCACAACTGACTGTCAAAGTTGACCTATTAAAACCTTAAAAAGTGTGAAACAGAAAATAATTTGGCAATGACCATCGTCAAAATGCAAGTTTTAGCAAAGAGCCCACAAACATATGAAGGATGAGTGGTTATATTTGAAACTCCACATGTCGTACCCAAATCATGCAATGATCGCAATCAGCAACCGTAATATCAGATTTTCTGAACTTCAAAAAACAAATAAATACACAAGCTCACATAGTTGCTAACGTGCAAATTGACTCAGTCATGTTCAAGACTGAGTCCGGGTTTGAGTTCAATATTTTTAAACAATGGCCACATGCTTCTCAATTTCAAGTGGGAGCATGGGTTCAGATTGTGTCTCCTTACATCCAGAAACTTGCCAACAACAAATAAATTGAAACATGTTCCCAAGTCCCAAATACACATCCAACGAGTCAACAACATTCAATATTAAGAGTGGCGCACCTTCGCCAGGATGTAAAACTAGGCTAATGTGCTGTCTACAAGTTTTTTCATAGTTCTATCTACTGAAAGTTTCTACTTGCAGTTAAAATCGCTCATTTTATGAAGTTGACAATGAATTTCTTTCGTTTCAAATAGCAAAGAGCAAAGTATTTAACATTCTACCCATATCTTTGTATTTAGTTTCAAAATACCCATCAAAAGACACATGATCGTGAGTTGAAATAGCTGCAAATGAGTAAAATATTGAATAATTCATCTCTTATGGCTAGTTAATTAAATTTCACAAATTTGAAATAAACATGATTTTAGTATAAATCTATCTTGTGCTTTCGAGACAGATTTTGCCAAATGTTGTCCATCTCTAATCAACAAGTGCAAATACGCTCAAAACTTTTTAAGGATAGGATACAATTTTGAAGAGGTTTCCAAAGCCAAGCTTAGTTGATTTTATAACATTCTACCCACAAGCCCACCTTAGTCTACTCTCTCATTTTATCGCCTATTGGTGCCACACCTAAATTTTCTCGATTATTCATTTCGAATTCTATCCTTGTCTTGCCACTCATCCATCTCAACATCTTCATCTCTGCTACACTCATGATATGCGTATATTGTTTTTTGACCGCTTGACATTATGCTCCATAGAGCAAAGCTGGCTGCATAGTTGTCCTATAGAGCTTGCTCTTCAGCATCATTGGTATGCGACGATCACATAAATTCCTGCTGCACATCTCGACTCTGCCCACCCAACTCAATTCTATGCGCGACATCTTCCTCAATCTCTCCATTTTCCTAGGTTATCGACCCAAGATATCGAAAATATGCTCTTTTTGGTTTTTCCTAGCCGTCGATCTTATTACTTCCTCGCCTATACTAATATTATTACTAAACTTGCATTTCATATACTCTGTCTTAATCCGGCGAATTTTAAAACCTTTAGATTCTAGATCATCCCTCCAAAATTCTAACTTTCGGGTCTCATTGATCAAACCAAACAACATGCACCATGGTACCTCATATTTTAGGTACCTAATCAAGTCGTCTATAACTAAGACAAAGAGGTACAGACTCAATACTGACTCCTGATGTAGACCTATTGTCACTGACAACTCACTTGTCTTTCCACTAGTTGTTCATACGCTAGTTAGCGCTCCATCGTACATATCTCTCACCAAGTCGATGTAGTATCTGAAGACTCATTTCTTTTCCAACACCCACCAAATCTCTCACCAAGTCGATGTAGTATCTGAAGACTCATTTCTTTTCCAACACCCACCAAATCAAATATCAAGGTACTTTATCATAAGTTTTCTCTAGATCAGTAAATACCATGTGGCGATCTTTTCCCTTCGCCTAAACTTCTCAATCAGTTGCCTAAGTAGAAAAATAGCCTCAGTTGTTAAGCTCCCTGACAAAAAATCCTATCGAATTTCTGATGCACTTGTTTCATGCCTTCATCGTTGCTCAATCACTCTCTCCCAAAGTTTCATAGTGTGGCTTATAAGTTTGATCCCTCAATAGTTCACACAATTCTGTATGTCATTTGTTCTTTGTAAATAGATACCGCAATACAACAACAATTACATGAGAATCATGTTAATGCATGTTCACATTTTTACAAACACAATAATAAAAAAGAAGCAGAAAATAGACATAGATCACAAGCAAAACTTGTAAATGCAAATAGATGGTAAATTGTGCCCTTCAAATATGAAGTATCTTCCATCCTAGAAACATACATTTCCATATGGAGTATTGCAAAGCTTGCCATTAGTGGGGATTATAAATTTGTGCATTTTATTACAAATTCATGGCCTCACAAATATGAGATCAGTCAACATTGTCAATGTTCAACAAGACCCAGTTTGGGTGTGCAGTTACTCATAAGTAAGTCTCATTCCAAAAATTCTCAGTCTTCATTCTCACCAAAGGGTAGGGGCCCAAATCCCTACTGACTAACCCTTTAACTTACCCAAAAATAAGTCTCATTCCAAAATTGACTGATTCTTTTTTTTTGGAGTGCATAAAATTGACTCATTTATGAATATGAAAAAGCATTATTCAGTGATCTGCATTCATGGAATCTTGTTTCTCTTCCTTGCTTCTTTGAAAAACATAGAATTCTCTTTTTTGCCTATTACAAAAAGGACTGCTTGAACCTTATGAATAACCCCTTTCACAGACATAATTACAGAAGCATCCAAGCAGGAAATTCACCCTACAATTGTTAGGAACTTCACACATTCAAGGGGTTTTTCTTCAATTCAAATAGCTCTTCACAGTACATGCAAGCAGCAAGGCTTCGATAGAGGCCAAGAGCTAACACCAACAATTGCAAATTAAATTGTTGGATATTGCTTCAAACGAGTGTTAGCAAACTCGGACTTGCTTGGGAACTAGCCATAAGCCCCGAGCAAGTCAGCTCGGCAAGCCCCTGTTGGACTCACCAAATTTTCACTGAGTTGGGTGAGTTGGCCTGAAAAATTCTCAAAAAAGGAAAACTCATAAAGAACAAAAAAAATTATAAAACGTGTATACAATATGTAAAACAATAAACAATCAATATCATTAACTAATAACTAACTGAAATTATCCAATAATATAATGAAATCTCAACGATACTAGATAATACTTGATACTATAATTTCAAATTTTCGATAGTAAATCAAATGAGTCCCATCAATTCCAAGTTCCCACTTCATATTAAAGAGTGTGACTGTGTAAAAAAAAAAGCAAAAAAGAACGTTATCAATGGCTAAAATATTATCTTTGTACACCGCTAAAATGTCTTTGTGTACATCAAGGTTTTAAAGCTCCCCTCAGCCAAGGTACTTGGCCTAACTCAGCCTAGTTATGTACACCACCCAAATATGTCAAAAAAAAAAGTAAGAAATTCGTAAAAATACTTAAAAAATAAGAACAATTATGAGAGGTGATAGAAATCATTAGAAGACTTAAGAAGATGAAAAACAAATCCTTAAATATGGACTATTGAAAATTTTGACTTATAACTCAAACATTTTTGAAATATTATAAAAAAGGAAAAAAATATGAATGTCCCCAAATTTTTCTAAAATAGTCAGAATCGTCTAAAAACATATTTCTAAATCATATATTAGTATTTTCCACCTTGATGCCTGACAAGTTCGGCAACCCCACTCACGCCTCACCTGCCTTGCCTTACTTGGCTGAGTCCAAATGGACTTCTCGGACACAACCGAGTCTACAAACACCGGTATACATAAAAATGAAAAGGAAATCAAAGCTTACTCATTTTTTTTAAGAGAAAGCAAAAACAATACAATAATAACTACACTTTTACTAGAATGAGGTTAACAGCCCCAAAAAAATCATTTATATGAATTTAAATTGAAAACTGAAAGTTACCCAACATTTCAAAGCCAATCCTCCAATCTTTGCACTTGAAGAGAACCAATGCCTCCAATCTTTGTCAAAGGGTCCTCAAATACCCCAAAATAGAACCCCTAAACCAGATTAGTTGATCCAAACTCTTGAAAATTTGGAGCAAATTGGTTTTCAAAATCTCGCAAGTCCGAGATTTTGTGAGTGGTCTTTTGTAAGAGGTAAGCCAATGATTCGATAAATAAACCAAAACAGACCAAGGTAACAAATTTCAACCAAGAACAATCTAGGGTTGCAAAGCAATTACAACTTTGCAAGTTTTCAAAATTTTGCCAAACCCTAGCTCAAAATTTTCAATCTCTCGTATCCAATAAACTTTAGATTTTTTTCACGAATCTGATCTAGTGAAGTTAGCATGAAAAAATGACACCATACACTAAATTTGAGCTCAATTCCAGGATCAGTGGAAGAAAAATGAACAAAAATGAGGTTTAGGTCCCCTCCCCTTTCCCTTTTTAAACTGAAAAACTATTGAATTCAACGAGTCCATACAGACTCCGCATGTATGTCAGAAGCTTGGCAAGTCGACAGTACCCCCTCCCCAAGTAGGGCAGTTCTAGGCTCGGCACCAGTTCGTCAAACCCTTGTGGACTCCACAAGTTTTTCAACAGTAATCAGACGACTGCGTAATATTGAATACAGCTTGATTTTGGATAGATCTGCAAGCTTTAAGATTTGAAAATTTGTGGGAGGAATTTTTTTTTAATTTTTTAAGAAGAAAGAAAAAAAGGAAAAAATATAATAAAAAAGGAGACAAAAAAGGAAATAGGAAAAGGAAAAAGTTACACCCTCCACTACTCCCTCTCCCACCTTTATCACTACTATCTCCCTCTCTTACCCCATTCTCCCCCCTCTCTCAGTCTAGCTTCACACCCACCAATTCCACTGGCATCCCTCTCTCCAATTGATCCTGGCTAACCCTCCCAATCTCAACCTGACCACCGGCCACTCTCCTTTCATCAATCTTCTCTGTGTACCTCAAAACAATGGCTTCTTCTTCCTCCCCTCCTTTCTCACTGCACCCCTTCTCTACTTCTCTCTCTGAGTCTCTGTTCATCTCTTCCCACCTATACTATGTCTATCTTTTTTCACAGCCCACAGGCCCCCCCTCTGGATGATGGGCAATCTGCTTGTCACAGCTACTTCCTCTTGCTGCCTTCTCCTCTTTGTTTTCACCCCTTCTTCTTCTTCCCCAACTCTTGGGAATGCTCTACTCTAAGCACCTGGTTTGTGGACCTTAATTCCACACCAAATGGATTTGTTTCACGGGGATTTTTTTTTGCCTCTTCCTTTTTTCGTCCCCTTTTCACCTTGGGATATTCTCCTTCCCCTTTTAACATTGGGATTTTCTGTTGTAATCTGAGCACCCAACCTGTGGGCTGCCTAATTACCACCTTTGTGGTTTTGTATAGTTTTTTTTTACAAATCAAAAGTTAACCTTCTCATAAAAAAAAACATAAACAAAAAATTATAGGTGGAATTTTATAGGTTCCATAATATGGTCATAGAGCGGGCGGGATGCAAGCCCATCACTAGAAAGGCTTGTTTTGAGTTTTTGACAAACAGCTGCATAATGAATACATTAAAATATATAAAAAAACTGAATCTCGCTTTTAAATTATATGTTTCTTTTTGGTTAAGCATTTCTTAGCTTTATGTCAATTAAAAAAAAAAGGAAGAAAAGAGTGAACAACAATATAGGAAATAAATCATTAACCCCACTATTTGCATAACAATGAGACACCCAGTCTGGGTTGCGAGAGGTATTGGGTTGAACCTCTCTTGTACACGAAGACCTACCCAAAAATCAGGAAAATTGAACACTGAGAAACAAACATATGCAATGCACATTAGATTGGTCATCTTGTGAGGAAGGTCTTGTTTTTAAAAGAGAGAGAGAGAGTTAACAGAGGCATAATAAATCACACTGTGGCATTTGGCCAGTTTATGTGATGAAGCTCAAGTACAAAGTTTGCCCCTCAAATTTCTTATAATCAGCAATATGATGCAATACCAATTCACATAAAACTAAACATGGAGGTAAAATCAATGTCTACTATTTCTGATCCTCGAGTAAGGAAACAATATACAATTCGACATCAAAAGGCATTGATAATGGAAAAATGTAATAAATTGAGGGATGAGAAACATTTACTGTATTCCGCTGCAATTCGTACAAACAAAGGTCCAGAAATTAGTGCAAACGTATTGAGGACCCTGAACACCACAAAACCAATATATTTTCAGATGATCATAAATACATCATAATAAATTATCTAAATCAGTTTCTTTAAATATGCATACAATAGAGCGTAAATGGAGAAGATGGGCAATATTTCTTGAAACTTTAAAAGTCAGGGGATGAACAACAGTGCGTAGGGCTCGTCCAGTGGCTTCTGTATCAAAATTCATAAAAATCAAAGCCGTGGAAGACAGACAAAAAATATATAAAAAATAGTGAAAAAAAATACCACATTTGAGTTCTAAATCAATCCAAGTCTCCTGAAATCAAAATTCATCTCAACTTGTACATATAAATAAAATTTAGCCCAATCCGAGCTGAAAAGTAACTGAATCCTAAGAAATTACCAGACTGTTACAGTTGATGCATCTCCTATTAGGGGGAAGCTTCATGAGACCTCGTATAATCTTCTCGTTCCTCTCATCCTCCTTCATTCTACTGCCCATCTTGCCAAAATCCTAATCTATCTGCAAAACGATGCTAACAAATGCAATGAAACCCTGAAACAATATCCAAAAACCCACAGTTACAAAGAAACACACGATATTCAAAGAAGAAACCACATGCATTACCTCGAATGGATAATGAAAACCCTAAAACGACCAAACTTTGGTGAAATCCAAGCAAGAAGCATGGGAAAACCCATGCAAGAGAAATGCGAACTCAAACAATTGCCCAAGGGGTCGAAATGAACCCTATAAATGGCTTCTGAGGTAAAATCGAATACGAGGTCCACGACAAAAAGCCTTAAAAATGAGTGAGATAACGCTTTACCTTGACCTCTCTTCCTCTGAAACACAGAGCATAGGGTTTTGGAAACTTAAACTTCTTTTATTGTGAAGAAAAAATATTTCCTCTGCAACCGTATTTTTGAGAAAATGCTTTTTTTGAACCACGAGATTTTATAGGCTCCCGAAATATTAATATATTTGATTATTAAAATAACGATATCGGAATTCTTTCACCCAAAACATGGGTGGCAAAACAATTTTGGTAAAACCATTATACCAAATTCTTTTTGGATTTTAATAAAATGGGTGAGGTCTTTATAAGTTGCGAGCCAATTAAAGTGCACCTCCAAATTCTATCATAACATGAAATTTTGTTGTAAAAAATTTTTAGAATTATTTTAAAATTTATTTTTATATCTACTTAAAAAATTTAAAATTTTGAAAATGGTTAAAATCAAGTAGATCTAAAATCTTGAAAATGTATGGTCTAGATAATGTGTTGTAAGATGCATTATTTATGGGGTTAAAAAACTTTTTGTTTTTCATATTCATATATATTGTTGTCAAGATGATCAATTAGAGGGTTTTTCAACATTAAAACAACATTTCTAATGGATTTTTTAGGTGCAACTGTGATTATACATTTTAAGGTAGCAACCTTATATAAACTTTTCCCTTGATAAAAACAAAAAGTTTATATATGGTTGCATTCTTAAAATGTAGAAATACAGATGCACCTCCAAAATTCATCGGAGAATATTGTTTTGATATTGAAAAAACCTCTAGTTGATCATCTCGATATAGAGATATATGAATATGACAAAATATATCTTGAGTCTCGAAAATAGTGCATCTTATAACACATTATATAGACCGTCTATTTTCAAGATTTTCATATGTTTGTAGATCTACTTTATTTTAACTATTTTTGGAGTTTATAATTTTATAATTAGATATGAAAAATAGATTTTTAGATAATCCAAATAATTTATTATACATAAATTATATCCTATGATAAAATTGGAGGTGCACCTTATTTGAATTATTTAAGGTTGCAACCTTGTAGAAATCACGCCCTTAATAAAATAATTAGGATAAATTTATCAAATTACTTATAAGATATGAACAATTTTACAATTTGTGTATATTTTAGTTAATTTAAAATATCCATAAAACCATGCATGATCTTGCGTTGGAATAGGTGCAAATGATCAAAATATTAATGGATGTGGTTTGCAGAAGGTTGCGGGTTGCAAACGTAAACAATCAAAGTAAGGTACCCTACCAAATTCTATTATAAGACGTAATTTTGGCGTTAAATTTTTTTAAGATGGCTTGATAATCTATTTTTATCTCTAATTAAAAAAAAAAAAAGACTTTCTAAATGATTTGAAGCTACTAAATCTAGAAATACATAAAAATCTTGAAAATATGTTCTAGATGATGCGTTGTTATATCTCAATGTCGAGATGATCAATTAGAAGATTTTCCAACTCCATAACAGCCTTAACAATGGAATTTTCAGTTGCACCTTAATTCTACAATTTAAAGATGCAAACTTATATAAACTTTTTCCAATATTAGATATTTCATCATCTAAGATTTTTTTGGTAAATTTTTCATAAATAAATTAGTGGATAAACTAAAATATTGGTAAAATCCTTTGTATTTGTAGGGATAAGTAGGAAGGCTTATGAAATGGAAATGTCTTAGTGCATTTTTGTCGAATCTCGAAGCTCATTTTGAGGTCACTTAATGAGCTATTTAAAAGTTAATCAGAAGAATGACTTAGTATTTAAAATTAGATTAAAAGTATGATTTTGTTAAAATGCCCATTAGAGGTAGACATGTGCAATTATTCCAACTCATACCGTTTTGATATTAAATCGAAACATGGATCTTTTGATATTAAAACGAAACATGGATCTTTTGATATAAAATCGAAACATGGACATAGAAATCTCCATGATGGCGCTAAAATCAAATTCACTATAATATAAAATTAAAATAATTGTACAGATCTTGTAGATCCATGAACACTTATTTTTAGCGTGCAATAGACGGTCTAGATAATAGGTTACAATGTAGACTATTTTAGGGCTTATGTTACAATCCACACTAATTTAGGGCTTGAAATCCTATTTTGTTTTCACAAGCATAATAGTTGAAGGCCTATCAATTTCAAGGTTTTCCAAATGCAATAACTATAATTTTTGGTGAATTTTAAGATGAGGATTTACTTAGAACTACAGCCCTATCAAAACAATTTCATATGTTAAATAGTTGATACCAAAGTTTGATGTGATTAATTTCCTCAATAATTGATTAATGCGTTCAAATCAAACTTCACTCAAGTACTTCCTTTAAAATATTCAAAGCGGTTTGGAACCATCTAGACACAGATAGTACCAAGTGGGCTCATTGATTTTTCAATCGCAATTTCCAAGTTTGGTCCTGGAATAAGTTGTGTGGTATCTTAATTGGTCAAATCACTTAGCTAAATAATTTTAAATAAATAAATGATCAAAATATCCTAAATACTCATAAAACTTGTAGGGGTATTTTGATTGTTTATTTTATTGAATTAATTTTTAATGTCATCATACATGATAGATAGAAGTATTGGGATGCAAAAATTAAGCTTAATCTAACATATATAAAATATTTTTTAAAAAAGAAAAGAAAACATAACATGTGTTATAAAACATGGGGGACTTGAGTGCAAAATTTAAAATACAGATTACTATTTTAAAATTTTGGTAATAAAATAGGATTTTATTTGAAGCTTCATTAGAAAATAAATATAAAAAAAAACTTTAATGTCTCTAAAAGATATTATTATAGAATTGAACATATGGTATTTCCTTTTGACTATCAGATTTAAGTGTTTGAAAACTATAAATTCAAACATTATTTGTAAATAACTGGTGATTCAAAAGTGGATCCTAATATTTCACAAGAAAACAATCTCACCAAATAGATGTTATGTTTGAGAGAGCAAGTGTATGATTATTTATTTCATTTGTATCATTTATTTATTTATTTATTTTTCTACATATTAACGGTGGGAATGGAGGGCTAGACCTTATGTTGAAACAATAACCACTGATGCTCCTGTCTCATTCCCTTTTATTTTATTTATTTATTTATTTATTTGTTTATTGACATTAACAACAAACACTCTAACACTTGCATTCACATGGTGTTGTATAGAATAACTCAACCAAAGGGCCATCAATTATCCATTCTCAGCAACGTATGGTGAAACATGAGTTTTTTTATTTTGTTTTTATTTTATTTTTATGCTGTGAGGTTTATACTTTGAGTACAATCATTCAGTAATTATTAGGTGGTTAAAAAATAAAATAAAATTAATAAGTAGGTCTTCTGGCTATGAGAGTAAACTTATATTTTACTCATGCGAGATAATAATATACGTGCTCTCCATAAATTGAGGCGTTTTTACATTTAGCGCGCATTTGGCCCGTAGGAAATCTCTCAATAGGAGGGAAACTTCTTGGTAGGCCCATACTCTCTTATGTTTGATTCATGGGAAACATCAGGTCTGAGAGGGGGCAGGGTTAACGCGTTTCTTGAAAGCTAGGGCTGGCATTGAGCTAGAGTTGGGCCGGGGCGGACCAAACAAACCATGATGCCTATAGGGCTAGCCCGAGCTTGGCCACCCCTAACCAGGATGAATAGGCCCTGGACTAGGTTGGACAGGGGCTAGACGAGTGGTATTGAGTTTATGGCGTTTATGCACCATAATTATAGAGGAATAGGAAATAGTTGCTTCAAGTAGTCAGGAGGGTCTCTAAGCTTGTCAGTAGAGTAGGGTATTCAAGGTTAAGTGATTGTTTGTGTTTCACGAGTGCAGATCGGTCTATTTTTTGAAGTAGAAATTATTTCCCTATTTTTCCTCTTTGTTAGTGTTTTTGGAATATACTATTTGTATGAATGAAACTCAGTGTTACTATTAAAAAAAAGGAAATATTTATATACTTCTCTCACTAAATAGAATATATGTATGTCCCCTTCAACTAACCATTCAATTAAAATCAAGTGAGCCACTTAACATTTGATCTAAATCCAATGTCTCAGAGTTTTTTATGTTTAGTTTATTTTTCTATATGTTGTATAGATATGAAGTGGTTAGGAGGGCTTAAGCTTGTCAGTAGAGTAGGGTCTTTGAAGTTTAGTGATTGTTCGTGTTTCAGAAGTGTAGGTCGGTCTTTCTTTGAAGTAGAGATTTTTTTTGTATTTTTCCTCTTTTTTAGTGTTTTTGGATTGTACTATTTGTATGAATGAAACTTGGTGTTAACATTATAAAAAATACTATTACAAGATATACTATTTTCAAGATTGGAGCATTATTTTTTTTTAAGCCTATGTATTTCAAGGTCGAGATGATTGGATTTGAAGGGTTTTTTATATTAAAAAAAAGCTTATTTTAGTAAATTTATGAGGTGCATCTTAGTTTGATTTTTTAAGGCCTCAACCTTATATAAATTAATCTAAAATGTTTTTGATATTTTTCAAGAGAAATTATTTGGATAAATAAAATTGAGAAATGATCTTATAAGATATTCTCCCATTCATGAGTATAGAACCTTAAAAGATCACCATTAAATTTGATATAAATAAAAGCTAAATCCCACACCCATATAATAAACTTTTAAAAAATTCATGTCAACTTTAGTGGGGATTATTTGCGTCCTTTACATAAATGGGGTAAGGTCTTAATGGATCATTACTTGGTAAAAATTGTAGAAAAAATACTCTCTTTTACCCGTGAGAGTTAATGCAGAATATAATCCCGCCGGAGCATGCTACAAGCACTCATAAAGAAGTGACAAATGTTCATCGTCTAAGTGAAGCTAAAAGTTTGTCGTGAGCCTTACTATAATCTCGCCTTTTGCTCGAAGAGCCAGAGACCCTCCTCTCTCCATCTCTCTCTCTTAAAACTCTGATAACTCTCTCTTTCTCTCTCTTAAAACTCGGATAAGCCCTGGGCTCATGGCCTCATCTCTGAGAACTCATTCTCTCTGTTTTTGTCATTCTCTGTCTTTATCCTCTCAAAAACACCCGGCCTTTATCTCGTGCAAAGCCCACGGTACCCATTCACTGGTTCCTTCTCTCTCTACAATCTTATTCCGGAGACATAATAGGAAGTACCCATTTGCTTTTTCTTTCTCTACAATCACTGCCTTCAATGAATGTGGGAGAGATTATCGTTTTCCGACGCTTGTAGCATTTTCTTCATCAGGGGAAGTTACAGAGACTGAGGAGCTTGAAGGGGCTCAGACCCTGGTACCATTCTCAATCTTCACTGTGAAACATATGCTATTACTCTCTCTCTCTCTCTCTCTTCTATATATATATATATATATATCTGATGCATCCCTGAATTACATCACCATATATATATATATATATTTACTTGAATGCCCAGTTTATACTGTTGTGGAGTTTGTTCTCTCTCTCTCTATCTATCTTTCTCTTCCCGAGGTTGACCCTGCTGGTTTATATAACCCAAATGTCCCCTTTTAAGCTCTATGATCATTAATTGAAGGGAATGATTTTTGTTGGTGGAAGCTGTAAAAGCTCAATGAAATGTCGAATTTAGCTGTTGCAATTTTCTGTTTTATGTCTTATTCTGTTTTCTCATGAATAAGACTTGGAGTTGGGAACGTGGGAGTTCAGTTTTGGGAGATGGTCGTGAGCAAAAATGTGATTTTTTTTTTGAGAAAGTGTTAAATTTTTATAATTGAATTTATAAATTACAGTAAATTTAATGAAGGCATCCCACAAGATGGGTGCTCAGTGTATAAGAGATAACGGGTTGAGAGAATAAACAAAAGATGGAAAGCATACACTAAAAGGGCAACGTTAAGGGGAAGTGAAGATGGGTGAGACTCTGTGAAAGAGCGGTGAAAGGTGGTGCTGGGAGGAACTTGGAATCGAGTGAGGGAGGTAAAGCCTGGACAGTCCTGTAGGTGAGCTGAATGTCCTTGGCAGTAGTAGTCTTTAAAGAAGAGTCTGTCCCTACCTGCGAAGGGTTAGTGAATCTAGACGAAGAAGGGGAGGAAGAGAGGAAGGGGGAGAAGGAAGGGGGAAGGGGCAGGGTGAAAGGTGGGGCTGAAGGGAAGGCTAGACGAGCTTGAATGGAGACGAGGGAAAAGGGGGAGAAGGGGTGGTAAAGAAAAGGTTGGGAAAAGCATAGAAGAAGAGAGTTGAAAAATGAGGGGAGTGGGGGGAGAGAGAGGCAGGATGAAAGATAAGGATGAGGGGAGCAGAGAAGCAAACTATAATGAAAGTGAGAAGGGGAGCAGGGAGATAGAGGTGGCAGTAAGAGAGGTATGGAGATAATGGAGAGCATTTTTAGTGGGAGAAAGCGTAATGATGCAAGTAAAAAGGGGGAAAAATAGGGCAAAGGTAATAATTTGCTTTCTTCTATCTATCCTTTTTTCTTCATTTTTCTTTTTTTTTTTTTGAGAAGGGGGGGAGAGGGGGAGGAGGGTGTCGAGGGAGACGAAGAAAGGTGAGGGGGGAGAGAAAGAGAAAGGGGTTAGGGGGTGCTAGGGTGCATCTGAGGTGCATTAGCTCCTTCCTTGGCCAACCCATAGTTGTTGAGGCAGGAGCGAATTCGGGAGTGGGATCAATTCGAGGAACGCCGAACCGCCATAGGGTGGAAGTTCCCGGGGATTAGGATTGTCATCCATACATCGAACAAATTAAGGAGCTAGATCCTAACATTCCTAAGCGTGAGATCCCATGTCACTGGGATCGAGCTTTTGACTCGGGGGGGGGGGGTCTAAGCTCCACTATACATAAAAGGAGATCAATTAATAGTATATGATAAAATTAAGATCACGCCAATACCTGCTTGATTCATTATCATAAACCTTTGCTTATTACCAATACTATAGTTATAGTATTCCAATTTACTACAACAATACAATTTAACAATATCATACATTAGCTTACAATGACATCAAAATGTAGTTTTTTTAATATCATAATCATAATATAACACGATCTGATATGCACCACAATTTAAAATATTATAAAGAAATGAATCGATAATATCAAGGAGAGGAGCAGTAGTTCAATCAATTGTATAGCTCCTCTCCTTGGAGGGTTTCTACAAGCATGTGGACCGAGATCCCATTGTATAAGGAGCGAGATCCCTATTTCTCTAAACCAGCTCCATCTAAGATCGCTTAAAGGAATCGCGGGATCAAGTTCCTAAGGTGGGACCATGGCCTTACCCCCAATGTTCCCGCAACTATGGACCAACCTATCTGCTTCAGCATTGGCTTCTCTTGGGATGTACTTGAATTTTATCTGAGGGATGAAGCTGCACAAGAAATCAATATGCTAAAAATTGAGTGAAGACGATAGGGTGGTTGGTGTCGGTGAGATGCCCAAGTAATGGAGTTGCTGGAGTCAAACTCAATAATAAGTCCCTTGTAAGTGAGGCCACCTTGCGATACTCTTTTGAGGCCTTCCAAAATAGCTAGCGCCTTAGCTGTGGTTGAGTCAGCAATCCCAATGTGTTAAGAGAAAGTGAGTAGGATTCCATTGGAGCTAGCCAATGTGCCTCTTATGCCTGAAGGACCATGGTTTCCAAGGAAAGACCCATCCGTGTTTAGCTTGAGGAAGCCCAGCGGGGGGAGGACCACTGGGGTGAGCTTTTGTTGGGAGGGGATGAGAGGTTCAAGAGTATTTCCCAATTAGTACGGTAGTGGGAGATGGGTAAAGTAGCAAAGAGGGGGAGAAGCTTAGCCCAGAGGGAAATAAGAGCTGTGATAGAGTAAAAAATGGAGCTTGGCTTCTAGAAATTCCTCTGAAAGTTTTGGAAATGCTTTCTAACTGAATACTCCAAAGGAGAGCGACAACTAACATGTGCCAAAGTTTCCTGGCCTGTTTTGCAAAAGGTGGGGAGAGGAGAGAGGTGAAGAGGTTTTGAAGAGAAGGTGGAGTTACCCATTGGAGGCCGAAAAGCTTAAGGAGGGAGGACCATATGCCGTGAGTAACCTCACAATGAATAAAGAGATGGGTGATGGTTTCCTCGTCTTGGAGGCATAAAGAACAACTGTTTGACAAATGGATACCTCTACGCTAAAGTTGGTCTGGGGTTAGGGTTTTCCCTTGCAAGAGAACCCCTACAAAGGCTTGGATTTTGTGAGGCACATGCAGGGACCGTGACTTGTTGAGTAGAGGTGCTGGTGATAGATTAAGAAGAAGAATGAGTAGAAGGAGGATACCGAGAAGGTGCCAGAACGGTTGGGGCTCCAAATAATAGAATCTTGCCGATGGAGAGTACTGAAAATAGGGACCAACATCAAAAGGAGGGAGTTCAAGGAGAGGGATTCTTGGTGAGAGAGATTTCTTCTAAAAATGGGAGTCCACTCTAGGTTAGACCCTCTAAACTCAGCATAGTCGGCGACTACTTAGTACTGGTTTCTAGCAAGGAGAAATAAGGAGGGGCAAACCTGATTGAGGGGTTGGTCTCCTAGCCAAGTGTCGAGGCAGAACTTGATTTTCTGGCCATTCCCTAGCCTAAATATAGTATTATAAGGAAGGCTTGTTTACTTGAGGTAATGCATTTCCACTTACCTGAGCTTTGGTGGGTTGGGGATTTCGGCAGCCAACCATCTTCCTCAAGGCCATATTTAGCAAGAATCACTTATTTCGAAAGGAGAGGGTGGGGGGGGGGAGTGAAATTCCACCAGCATTTACCTAGCAAAGCTAGGTTCATGAGACGAAGGTTTAAACTAATGTGGCCAGCGATGTTCAGTACGAGACCTCACAGAAATGTATTGGGCATCCTTAATTCGTATAGAAAAAGATTTTGTGAATTTAGAGCTAAAAAAAACAAGGAACTCCATATCCAATGGGTTTGTCCATCACCAATTAAATGACTTCTTCTCGACCTCACTAAAGGTACTCAAGACTCATTTCGAAACAAATCCAGAAGTTTCGGATTTGATTCCAGTGGAAAGGAGAGGGTAGGAGGAAGCGAAATTCCACCACCATTTTCTTAGCAAAGCTAGGTTCATGAGGCAGAGTTTTTTAAAACCAAGACCTCCGTGAGATTTGGGGGACAAACCTTGTCCCAAGCGACAAGGTGGAATTTATGACTCTCTGTGGTTCCAGACCACAGAAAGTTGCACATCATTTTCTGTAGACGATTAAGGACAGAGATTGGGATTTGGAAGAGGGACATGTAATAAATGGGAGTGCTGGCTAGGGTGGATTTAATGAGGGTGATTCTACCCCCAAAGGAAAGGAAGCGTTCCAACGAGCAAATTTCCAGTTGAATTTCTTGATTAATTTGTCCCAGAGGTGTTTCATGGGTTTGCCTATGCCAAGAGGGAGGACAAGATAGGAAGATGGGAGCGATTCAGTGGAGCATCCTAGATGTTGAACAAGGGAGTTTAATTCATCATTGTCAACAAGGATCCCTAACATTTTTGTTTTGGCCATATTAACTTTCATACGAGTAAGTATTTTGAAGGTTTTAAGGAAAAGCTAGAGGTTATCAAGGTGACGAGGGTTGGCTTGACTTAAAATGACGGTGTCATCTCTGTAAAGCAGATGGGAGAGGGTGGGATCTTCTTGGGACGTCCTGAATCCTGAAAGCAAATCTCTATCGTAAAGTCTAGTGATAGGTCTGGAGAAAAGTTCTCCAATGAGGGTGAAAAGGAAGGGCGAGAGGGGGTCTCCCTGCCTTAAACCTCTGACAGAGGAGAAGACACCTACCATTAAGGAGAATGGAAAAGGAGGGATTGGATACACGTGCCTTTATCCAGCTCCTCTATTTATGACCAAATGTCATACAAGATTGAATATGATCAGATATTCCAGTTGACTCGGTCGTAAGCCTTGTCCCAATCCAATTTTATAATAAGACCTTTCTGACCAGAAGTAGACCTAGAGTGGATTGCTTCTTGAGCTGTAAGGGCCTCTCATCTAAGATCTGCTTATTGGCGACAGAAGCTGATGTGTTGGGGGATTCTACTGAACTAAGCGTAGCTTGGAGCCGAGTGGACAAAACCTTGTCGAGGATCTTATAAGAAGAGTTGAGGAGACTGATGGGTCTGAAATCTCACTTTGAGAGCTCATTCTATTTTAGGGATTCAGGCCAGGCAGGCACAATTCAAAGCAGAGTTAAGACGATCTCTAAGGAAAAACTCTTCAAAGAAGGCCAAGAGATCCGGAGATGTGTTCTAGGGTGCACAAAGACAAATTTACCATGACTATCACCTAAGGATTTGAAGACCTTCTGCGGTCAAAGGTGAAGC